GGCGCCGAGCCTCTGGATCTTTTTTTAATGAATTGCTTATTTTTATTCTTATTTACATTAAATCAATAACCATTCCTTGGATATCTACAAAACTAGTCCAGGCTTTGGGAGGAACACTGCATGCCTGGAGATCCTGCCCTCAAAGAGCTTGGGCCACAATACAATACCGATCCTCACAGCTCACACTTACACAAGAACTGTTGTACGTGCTCTACAGGTGTTGACTTATTTAATCCTTGAAGTAAGTCTAAAAATATTATTCCTTTTTACAGATGAAGAGAGAGGGCAGAGAGGGGTGAAGTGATTTGCCCAAGACCACATGGCTAGTCGGGGGCAGCACTGAGACCAAGCCCAGGCAGTCTGGATCCAGAGTCCTGCTCTTGACCCGATTGCCACGCTGCCTCTGGCTCACAAGGCAGAGCACAGCACGCGACTCACAGCTCAGGGGTCAAGAAGATGTGTCATGAGTTCTGTATGGTTAACAGACAGACAGACAGCAGGATCCAAATGAATCTCAAGGCAGAAGAGATCACAGCGGGCTGCACAGAGAGAAGTCTGTGGTCTCTACAGAACGTACAGAGCAAAGGAAGGTGTGGGGCTAGGGTCCGAAACAGAGGGAAGGACACAGGTCAAAGGTGGGCACGGAGTAAAGGTATGTTCCCGGCACAGGGAATCAGCCAACTTGGCTGAGGGTGGGGGGCAAATGCCTCACACCACTGTATACAGACAGGGTTCGGTTTAAACCTACCCCATAGTTTTATTCAAAAAGTGACAAATCATTTTCTATTTCTGAAAAGAATTTAGATAAAATACTAGTCATGATTTAAATTATTAAGAAATTTAAGTTCCAAAGAAAACATGTCATATTTAAAGAAACTTTCTGTCCGTGTAGGTTTTATCCGAGTTCAAATCAGCACAGTCCTAAAAGGACTCCGAGTGGGAGTTGTGTCCTGTTTAGGTGAGTACAGTTAAACCTCACCTCAGCGAGTTCTGTTAGATAGTCAACCAGGAGAAACACGCTCCTTAAAAAATTTTAAAGCTGCTGGGTGAGGTGGCTCACGCCTGTAATCCCAACCCCTGGGAGTTGAGGCTGGTGGATCACTTAAGCTCAGGAGTTCAAGACCAGCCTGAGCAAGAGCAAGACCCATCTCTAAAAATAGCCAGGCCTTGTGGCGGGTGCCTGTAGTCCCAGCTACTTGGAAGGCTAAGGCAAGA